TAGTCGCGGTAGTGAAAAGTCTGCTAGGTGGAATTGAGGAAGTTTGGTACTATATCTCTATATGAAAGCAGTTGTAGTTAATTTTCTCTAAATCCAATATGAAATGCGATAAATATTACGTATATATAAATTATATTCATATTTTACGCACATTAATCCAACCAAAATCCAGTTTTGTGTTTCTGTTAAAATTAGTAAATGGCTTTTTTTAAGAACGTCAAAAAAATTATTACTAAAAATGACTAATGATTAGTCAGTCATGTTTTGTATTTAGTGTGACTTAAAACTGTCCACAGATAAAATAGAGTAAAGGTGCTGATTCACCAACTCAGACATCTGAATATCAATATATATGTTTCACTTTTTAATGACAAATTCTACTCTATTAATTTTCAATATATGTAGTTTCCATATAAACCTTAGACAAAACTTATAAAATTTGTTGAAAGCGCTGTCTGCTAAATCATGTTATAAAATCTATTTACTTCATTTGTGTTTAGAGTTACCAACACAAAATATTTCACTATTTTATTAATCGCAAAATTTTCGAGCATATAACACTAATAATAGAGATATTAGATCATGATTTAGTTACTTCCACTAAGACTATGTTGATACTTCACCATCACCAAATATAATTCAGCGAATTTTTTCAAATCGAATTAAAGGTTCATGGTAATAATGTGTTTAGAATGTCGAAGTTATCTTATTTCCAGGTTTATCTTGATAAGCGTGTATAGTTTATTTATAGTTGTCATACAACATCTATGCACAGATGTATTAGATAAGCGCGTGCTTACTTTTCAAGTCCAAACTTAATCTGTGCCGACAAAGGGCCATACTATGTAGAGTGTCTCGTGCACGACATCAGTAAAATTGCTGTTGTTCTCATTGCGAATTCTATATTTCACAGTAAGAGAAAAAGCACTATGTCCGTTTAAACTTCGTCAATCGGGTTGTCCGCATTGCCTGTAGAAGTATGATGAGAAAACCTATGACTTACAAAGAGTTGTAAATACAAAGAAATCACTCCTAAATAGAGGAGTTCAAACTATATATAATGACTCGGAACTACCATAAATATGTATTTAATCAATGAATATATTTTTTGTATAACTTCCTATAACATGACAAAAATTATTATATTATTTACCAAATGTGGACACATTTCCCCTCAGGGTGTCAAAGAAACGTTTTAACTATTTAATTTATATTTATTTGTTATGGTTTACAAGGAGTTATTCACCAATATTTATAAAAATTACACCTTCCAGAAGTTTACATAAAGTTTATTATCATGTTTTAATATTATCCGCCCCAAAAGAAGAAGGCATGAGTATTATTTACACTACTTGTATCTTAGGGCCATGTTACATAGAGTGTCTTGGGCACGACAAAATTAGCCCTTTGGGGTTATGCCGATAATGTATGTTATGTTGACTATCACATCAGTATTGCCAATTTCGTATTTTTACAATGTTTTGGTAATACTGTTTTGTTTGTGCCTAAATTTAAAAGGAAATGTAGATATGCTCAGTTTCAATTTGCCACCAAAAATAACCAGGAAGAAAAGACTCATAGAGGCTGTGATAACGTTAATTTATTGTTATATTGTCTTAGAATAATTGAAAACAGTACTTACGTTTTTCTTTAAAATCGGAAAGCGTGATAACTAAATTATTAGCAGTTAATAAAATAGGTTGTTTTGCTTACTACCACTTTTTCTCCAAAACGTATTGAAATTGTAGTAATTTGCTCCTAAAAGGCGATAATTCTGAAATTTATTGCCAAACAACACTGCTTTACCTAAATGCTGAGGTCCAAATACGCCGACTCTAATGCCTAAATTTGAACTGACATATGGTTTTTTCTCCCAATCTTAATTTTATAATTTTCATTGAAAATAACTACAATTTTACTCATACCGTGCCCAAGACACTCTACGTAACATGGCTCTACATAACATGCATTTTCGGCATAGCCCGAAAGAGTCAAGTTTGCCATGCCCGCTATGCTCTATATAACATGGGCTTTAAAGGTAGTGTGCAATCCCGCATGGATTGTGGAATAAGCGATAAAAAGATACAAAGTCGCAAGAAAACTCGTAGTCGTTTCCCTAATTTTAAAGCCACGTGATTTAATAATGTGAAGTCTCCCAGTATCTTAGAGCATCTGTATCTAACCACTTTCCATGCCAAAACGTACCGCGGATACTATTGGAGCAATTATCAAATATTATATATGCAAACTTTATTAATATAATAATATTATTAAATTAAAAAACTATTCATTAAATTTCAAATCAAACTACATACACTCATCCACTTGTCCAAAATTGTGTCTACTTTAATTCCATTATTCTATCATTTTAAGTAAAGTATCCAATTTATTATCCTATCCAATATATTATATGATATATATATATTTATATACACATGTGATATTTGTCTTCTGTACTATAAACACAACTCTAGTAAATCATCTAGTAAATGTGGTCATCACATCACAACTTGTTTTGATATAACATTTTTGGAAACAAGTGTGATGTACACCCCAGAACTGGTATTGTATTATACATTGTGACCGAAAAGTTTTCGGAAATTCTCATTTAAAATTCGCGCGCTGTATATTTTTCGATATTTTAAGTTTATGTAGTTTGGCAGCACTGTCCTTAATTACTATGCCAAAAATGAGCGCGATCTGTAAGACAGTTCGTTTACGGCAGCTGTTGAAACCAGTTCACCTCAGTAGTGCGTTGCGAAAAAAACAATGGAAAAAAATATTGAACAAAGAGTTTGCATCAAATTTTGTGTTTCGAACGAAATTTCGTGTGCAGAATCGTTGCGAATGCTACAAAAGGCTTATGGGGAATCAGTTTTATCGAAAACTCAAGTTTATGAGTGGTACAAAGCCTTTCAGGACTGTCGTACGACCGTCGAAGACATGCCGCGTTCTGGACGACCTTCGACCTCTACCACCGACGAAAACATTGAAAAGGCAAAGGAAATCGTGTTCAAAAATCCTCATGTGAGTGTTAGAGAGATAGCACGAGAGCTAGGCATCGGTCGTGAGATGGCTCGTTTGATTTTGGTGGACAATTTGTGTATGCGACGTGTCAACGCCCGGCTTGTTCCGATTCACCTCAATTTGTTCAACATTATCAACGATTTTAAGGCCAAACATTCAATAAATACCATCGAACAGCCACCGTATTCACCTGATCTTGCACCGTGTGACTTTTTCCTGTTTCCCAACCTCAAATTACCACTCAGAGGAACGCGTTTTGAATCCATAGAAGACGTAAAACAGAATTCGCAGAGGGAACTCAAAGCCATACCGGAAAGCGCCTATAAAAAATGTTTTGATGATTGGAAGAAACGTTTGCATTTGTGTATCGCTTCTAATGGAGCATATTTTGAAGGAGATAAAATAAATATTGATGAAGATTAAGAATTTTGCGTTTTATTTAAAATTTCCGGAAACTTTTCGGTCACAATGAAAGGGGGTTCAAACCTCTCTCAAAAATATTTAATACCATTTAATACTAGATATACTGAATTTTGTTTCAATTAAATGTGTTAATATAAACTTCGAATTAGTTTTCAAAATCCCTTCGAAATAACTCTAATATATGTTTCCGCATAATATCATATAAACAAGTGTTTTTTGGTCGAAATCTTGATTTGGATTTTAATAAGTTTCAAATACACAAAGCGATATTCACTGATTGCACTCTCTTTTAGATTGCCACCAATCTTTTTAGATTGCCAAATGGCTTCTTTCGTGTAAACATCACTCCCACCCATTTAAATTCTTTCACTGTTTCAAAGCGAACACGTCCTGTGAACTTTATCTTGAGTTCTCTGTGAGTACCTTCTGTGTTTAGACTCAACAGTTAAGTCCTTTGATTTTTATGTTCTTTTCCTAGAACATATATGCTATTTGCCATCAGAACTTTGTTCTTCACATAAAAGCAGATTTGGATATTTCTAGTGAAAGCCCTTTTCTCAGTATTAAATCTACATATCGAGGGAATGTACAGAATATTGTTAAAGATACTCTGGAGATAATTTCAGAAATGCGAGTTTTTTTTGTATGATAGCATAGTTCGATTGGTTTAACGTTCGATCTCATAGAAATAGTTAGCTTCCTTTACATTTTTCTCCACCATTCTCTACTAAACTCTCCACACACCCTCACATTTTCCATGTCGTGTATTTTTGATTTAATCTGCTAAAGGGGTACGATAATAACAAAGTAATATTAATATTCGTATATAATAATTGACATTTTTATAAAATAGCTTTCAAACATCAAATGGAATAATTTAGCATCGCACAATAAACATTTTAAGTCTTGGTTTAGGTGTTGATATGTTAGGGCTGTCTAAGCCGCTTCTCATGGGCCAGATGCGGCCCGCGTCTTGTTTCTAATCTGCCACAATTATGCAAATTTGCTCTTGATACATTTTAGTATCAACTCAATATTTTATTTTTAAAGTATCCGGAAAATTGAATTCAACGAATTAATAAATTAAATTTAACCTTATCACCGCACTTTTATTGTTTACCAAAAAACAATGGACGTATTTACTTGTTTCTGCGGCCTCTCAGTCTGTACAATGGCTTGTATTGGCCCGCGATCATATCTGGTCTCGACAGCCCTTTTCATTATTAATAATATTTAAAATAAGTTACAAGACCCTTTGTCGGACTTGCTTAGAAATTGTTTTTTAGTTGATTTTTATAGAAAATATATTTTATTTCATACATCACACAATAAGAATCTGTTACTCACTATATTCTTAAGTTAAGATAAGACATTCTTAATCCAGTTTTTGTACTTAACTTGTTAATTTATTCAAATTTTATACAATTACAATTTAGAGAATTACAAATGTATTTATGGGTTCTTATATTTAAAGGTGATAAAAATTTAATGTTAACTCAAAAATGTATTAATTGTAAATTTTATGAGATCTTTTATGAGACCCCTTGCATTTTACTTTAGTATAGCAATTTAGCTTTAAAATTAAGTATGATATATATTTAAAATTAAGTATATATATGCAAAAAAGTGATTTAATCAGAAATGACCCGTTTCTATATATTTCCTGAAGCTTTCAAAGCATTTGTCTGAGCACCATTGCTCAATGATCGTGTCGAATTCTGCGTCCAATTGCGTCCCAACAGCTTTTAAATTATTAAGAACTACTGTCCTCTTCATTGCCGTAGACATCTGCAAAAAAAAGGGAATACTGTCAATATATTTATGTTCAACTATTTTGTTATTTAATATATATCTAAAATTATTTTAATATTTTTAGATAGAAAAGGCATGTTAGAACGATTTTTGCACTTTGAACATCTGGAATCCAAAAGTTATAAGTTTTGAAAACTTACAGCAATCAGAAATAAATTGGCTGTGACATGTTCGAGATATATAAAATTTATCTAACAAATAAATGAATCTATCACACCCTACACTATAGCATAATAAAAGTCATATTTAAGCGTTATTAGTAAGTGCAGAGATCGGTAGTCCCACTCCTTGTCGTCGCTGAGCTCAAAACTAATAAGTGGTTAAGCAATAATATATGGCCAACTGTCTTAAGGAATTTTGATATAGAAAAACTCAAGAATGAACAACACAGAAATATATTCTCGTGTGAAATAGCTTCTATTGGCGCCAATATGGAAAACCCCGAGAACCAAACAACTGATCGAGGGTGGAGTAGCATATAAAATGATTTGAAAAAGATATGTGCTGAAGTGCTATGATACGCGCACATCGCACTTAGAGACGAGAGATGGACATTCCTGATCCAATATGACACAAGGAATCTTCTTCTAAAATTAAACCACTTTGCAACTAAACATAGTGACTGGAGTCAGTGTCCACTCTGACTGATCAGCAAGAAAACTGCAAAACTGTCCTTTTAAAAAACTGTGTGTATTTTTTTATATTGGGCTAATTGGTCAATAACGGGAAACTTTTGTTAATAATAATTGCAATTTGTTGCATTTTTATTTTAAACAATAGTGTAATACAGTAGAATACAGTAGAAGCTCACAAAATAGACCCACTTGCTTTTTCGGGTAGTTCGAATTTTAGGACTATTTTTAATGCTATAAAAATGATCAAAATTTTAAAAGTCCACATAAAAACTTTATTTTACAGTTGAGGTCTATCCTTATTAAAGATTACTGTATAAATGTAAATATTGAGTGTGTTTTTGTTTCAGGTTTAGTCAAATTTTTCAAAATGTTATCGTTCAGAAAAAGACACAATTGGTGTGGGATTTGGAACGTCGTCTTCAACGTTATTTGAAGTATCATTATCGGTATTGAACTCATATTTAAATCCGTCATTAAATTACATTATTGATTGCATTTCATTAAAATGCGAATTTTGGGACTTCCCCCTATATTTTTACTTACTATAACTTATTTATACAAAACTTAAAAATAAAGGAGACAGAAGAGTTATAATTTTAGAGCCCTTAGTGCATACAATGTATTAAAATTTTTTGGTTCGAAGTTTAAGTATATACAAATTTATATATATGCATATATATATACAGAGTACATAATGTAATAAAATTAAGTTTTTTACATCAAGTGCAGATTTGAAATTAAGCACTTATAATATATACACCACTTATAATTTCAATGAAATTAATAATGAAGGTGTGATAAAAGAGTGATTTAATAATAAGAGTAGTATGCACTACTATATCTCATTGGACTAAAATAAGAAGCCAGTTAACTTTACAAGAAATTAGTATTTAAGCTTGTTACCAAGTAACATATATGTGTATGTGGGACATATGTATTGCCCTACTCTATATAAGCTATTAAAAATGTATGTATTATCATTTTAAGGTGGATAGAAATGTGCAACGACTCTCGTAAGAAAAAACTTAAAATAATAAAAATATATCTCATAATTATTCTTACCTCTGGTGAGAATGCAGCTATTTTCTTAGCTTCTTCTAAAGCAACTTCATTCAGATCATTTGTGGATGAAAATTTACTAACCAAACCCGATAAAAGAGCCTCAGTAGAGTGTAGTTTATCACAATTAAAGAACAATTTCGTTCTCTAAATAGACATATACCATATATATTTCAAATAATTAATTATAAAAGTATTTCCATATACTCACAAAGTTTCCCCTGATTTTGGGTAAGTTATTCCAAATGCAATAACCTTCAGGTAACTGTCCGATTTTAGCATATGGAGCTTCATAAGTAGCTTTATTAGTGCTAATAACAACATCAAAAAGTGGCAGTTGTGTCACACCTAGACCAACATTAGAACCACGAACACCGGCAATAATAGGTTTCGGAAATGTGAGTAACGTATATAAATAATCTCTGTAAAAATAATTATTTGAATTAATTCTGTAATTTAATTTCTATAATGGGAATCATATATTTAGCACAAAAATTAGCTGTGCAAACGAATAAATTACTTTGTTGCTTTCGCTAAATTATGCGCCGCTTCACGGCGTCTTTCTATAACAGGATGTGTCAGGGCAGTGAAATCTACTCCATGGCAAAAATTCGGACCGTCTGAAAGTATCAATACACAATTGCACTTTTTATCCACAATTAGCCCTTTTAATATTTCTACCAACTTAGTCATCATCTAAAATAAAAAAGGGAGACATTTATGATTGGCGATTGAATACAATGCGTACGGCATTAGTTTATGGAATACACAATAACTATACCTGTGCCGTAAATGTATGGGGTTGTCTTGCCTTATGGGTACTAAATATAATTTGTGCCACATTAAGTGTTTTTTTTATTTCTACATCATGAGGTATTACTGGTGGTTTTGCTTGCATTCCATTTTTAGCTACAGTTGGCTTATCCATTTTTGTTACTGGTGGTGTTTTCGTAGGTGTTCCTTTCGATAACACTTTAGTCGTATTTTTTGCTTCAGTCGTATCTTTATTTTTTTTTGCTGAAGTTTTCACTTCTTCCGAGGTTTCATTTTGCAATTGTTTCGTTGCAGCATCTTTTAAGCCAAGAGGCTTCACTTCACTTCTGTTATTTTCACTATATTCTTTTTTAGCGGGACGTTTAACGTTCTTTACATCAGTCGAAGAAATATTAGTTCCAGATTTACCTTTCTTCTGTCCTGGTTTGTTTCGAACTTTTGTTTTTTCTGCCGAAACTGGAGATGCCAAAACCGGAGTTGCTGTTGTTTTCGGTGTGACGTCTGGAGTAAGAACCGCATTCTTTCTTCGATGATCTGGTTTTTTATTTAATTTTCTTATTTGGGGTTTTGGGAATTTAAGTGAATTATCTTTATTTTCGGCTGAATTTTGATCCGTACTTGGACCCGGTTCCACCATAACGACGCGTTTTTTAGTTCTATTTGATTTTATTGTTTTTACATTTGTTGTTGTTTCTGCCCCGGTTTCTGATATTTTATTTGTTATATTCGATTTCATGGCTTTATTATTTTTCGCTATTGCTTCACTTACAGGAGTCGACTTTATTGAGGAGGCTGTGGCAGATGAAGAATTTATAACTAAAGAATTTTCAGATATAGCGGTCGTACTGGCTGAGTTTATATCGTTATTATTCGGCGTATCTGTGATGTCTAAACTTAAATTATTTAAATCGGTTCTGGAGTAAGAATTATTAGAATGCCGACATACTATCAGAGCATCATCGTCGGCTTTTTGTGTATAAAAATGTTCCCAATTAGATGCTGCTTTTGGTTTTGGAGTGCTTTTAATATTTAATGAAGGTACTTCTTCAGTCTGAACGGATTCATTTGAAGATTTAAAATCATTCTAAAACATATCAAAATGATTATATTTGAAAAATATTTTTAAATTGAAACTTACCTTTTCCGAAGCTTTGCTAGGCATTTGAGGATTTTGTTTTGTTTCTAATGTCTCTTCAGTGTCAATAGTTGTACTAATTTCAACAGATTTCTCATCTACAGGTTCAGGTGTTTTAATCACCGGAACTTGATGTTTCTCAGTTTTGGTTTGGTTGCCCTCTGGCAAATGTGGATCTAGATCACTTGTATAAACTGAAACATTACTACTTTCTTCTAAATTTTCTATTGATTGCTTGTAATTCTGTGTGACGTTTACATTAACTGAACAATTGTTAATATCGTTTATTTGAATGAATTTTTCTTCAACACTGGTACCCACTTGTGATTCATTTTGCTCTTCTTTATTTTTATCTTGATCCTCCTCTACGCCACACTCACCTTTTACTATACTCCCTACTTGAGAAACCAATATGGGTGAACCAGTTTTAGTTAAGTTTTCATTATTCACGATGGTATCCAATTCTGAATTAGTATTAACTGAATTCAAAACTTTTCTACGTTTGTGCGGTTCACGATGTCCCCACTTTTTCGTTTCCGTCATAATAATATTTTCAAGGTCCATAAACTCAGCATTATTCTCTGTATTACACAGCTTTTCCGATTTAATGTTGTTTATTGAAATGCTTTGTTTCTCCTCATTGCCAAATTTTGATAAATGTTCACATTCATCAGTAGTTGTGTTACTTACTTTAAGCTCGTTATCCCATAAAAAATCAATTTTATCTACTCTTCTCCTTTTTAAAAGACTTTGTTCATTGTTGACCGATGTGATTAATCCTTGCTTCTTTCTTTTTCTTACTATTTGTCCTTCTTCAATTCGACCACGCACATCATTTTTTGAAGAGGAGTTTTTATCTTTTTCTAAAAGCGGGTCGATTTCCTTTTGCAGTTTCTGTATCTTGCGGCCAATAATATATTCTTTAATATCTTTATCTTCTACTACATTGGACATTTGCTCTGTTTCCTTTGAGAAACTTAAACTTGTTTCAGTTGATTGGTTAGATATTGTACCTGAAGTGGGACCAATTTTTTTTGGCTTTATAATTCCTTTTTCTGAAATTGTACATATAAAAAATAAAAAGTAATTATTAACTAAAACAATTTTCATTTGTATTTTATTTAGAAATAACGTAAAATATTTCTTTTATTTACCAGAATGCGTTGTTACTGCTTTAAAAAATTCCTGATCTTTATCTTCATTCATTATCAATTTTCCCGAACTGGAACTACTCATATCATTTATATAACACATATTTGTTTCTGATAGTTTACTTTCGTACTTTTCTGGAACCTCCTCTGGTATCTTTTCATGTACTTCTTCCAGTGTATCCAGCTGAATTGTATTAACACCATCTTCGTCATTTATAGACGTCTCTGAACTTTTCGTAAGAGATACTAAGGATAAATCTGTAAAGCTTGTTGGTTCGGCTAAGTCACTAGTAGTTATTGTTATTGTTTCAAATAGTTTTGCTAAAGACTGTATATTTGTATCCAATTCCTGTTCTGTGTTATGTTCCTGCTCAGTTTCATGTTCTTCTTCTATGTTACATTGTTGTTCATGTTCGATCTCAGGTTGGGAATCTGATTTGTGATCATATTCTGAAAGAGTTTCTGGTTTTACTTCTAGTAGTTGCTCAGATATTGAGGAACTTTTGTTTGTGTATGGAGAATATTTAAATATTTTATCTGAACCATCCTTTGTTGTAGTTGTTGGAGATACTGTAGGCACATTAGTCATGGTGTCTGTTTCTTGTGCATCAACTTCTGAATCAAAAACATCTGTGATGATTGATTCTTCACCGTCAATCGGGATATCATCTGGCAATTCACTTTGCCACTCTTTTTCTTCAAGTGACGAGCCAAATTGCGAAATAAGGAATCCACTTATATCAAAATCGCTAAGATCGGGTGAGGCGCTTCTATCCTCCGGCGCTTGTAAGCGGGACATTTTCTTAGTTGTGCTTACACACGTTTTTTGCTTTTCCTAAAATATTTTTTACCAATATATTATATATATTATTTCATTTTAAAACTGAAATGTATATCATTTGCTATCTTTTTAGCACATATATTATATATTGTTTAATATTAAAAAATTGCAATACAGTGGAGTGCGGGGAAGCACAGCACTATTAGCACTGAAATAAAAGTACTATTTTTTAACCAATTCCGTTCAGTATAACATACCCAAATCTAATACTATATCCTTAAACGCTTAGAACATATAAAAAAATTATGGTATTTGTCACAAATCTGTTTAATTTTTAATAACTTTAATCTCTCACAATTTTTACTTCCGTTTACTAACTTTTTAAAGCGTCAAGTGTGAGAGTGATAACTATACTTTCATGTCATTGCATGTCATTACATGTCGTGTCAATATTGCCACCTATGCGTATTTTATTACGCAGAAATAAAATACTAATTTTGGAAGAAACGAATGATGCTCAGTTATTCACTTTGTTTTGCTCTAAACACAAGGAAAAAATTAATTATTATTTAATTTGTAATATTGTAATTTTATAATAACAATACATTAAGTCTACGGGGATTCACCTCAATAATTATAAAACTATAATTATATTATAATTATGAAACTATAATAATTATGACAATTATAGAACTGTAATTATTATGACAACTATAGAACTATAATTATTTATAGACAAAACACTATATACGGACTGTAAACTAATTAGGATATTCGAATATTTCCTAAGACCACTGATGATGAGTACTTGGCAATACTCGAAACCGCTTTGTATGGTCAATCAAATTTCAATAAATTAAATAAAATTTTTGTTCTTGTCTTTTCTTTCTTATTCGATTCCGTCTAACTTTTAAATAGTTTCTTTTCGTCATAAGGACGCGTCACTCTCGGCAAGAAAAATTAAAATTAAATAAACATTATAAAATTCTTTGAGTGTAACTGCAGATTTATGAGGATCGTCAGTATGTGGCAATAATAAATAAAGCATTTTTCCAGTTTACAATTCGTACCATACTTAAATCAAATATACAATTTGTTTGTAATATAAAACATGTGAAAATAACATAAAGTACAGACCTATGCCGAGTAAAATATTTGTATGGTTTTCTTAAAAAATTTTGTCGTCTTATTGCTTTCTTTTTTTAAATTTAAATATATTTGCATAAATTATATAGGTATTAATAAGTGTCATGTTCAACAAACCTTAGAAGATGCTAAGCAGCCAACGATTAGTTTTCCAGGAACAACACACTGCACATCCGATCGAACGCATTCATGATTGATACCTCCCAGCTTCTGCTTAGTTCAGTTTCGAAAAGCTAAGTAAAGCTAAATATTGGTTTCATCGTGTCTCATGGCATTGAAAATTCCCGACGCTGCTTGGCAAGATTTTCGAACTTCTTGCCTTTAGTGCATACAATGTATTAAAATTTTTTGGTTCTAATTTCTGGACAATTCAAATTTGTAAGAGTTCTAATTTATGAGCATCTACTGTATATATATTACTTTCCTTTTAACATGTTATTAAGTAATTATTAAGTTCGAGATGCATGGGTAAAATTCTTGGAAAAATTTTTTATGAGAGTCCGAAGTAGTATTAGAAATTCATATGAAATTTCCAAAGAAAATAAAAACAAGTTCACCAAAGTAACGCAAAAGTGCCTTTTGTTATTACTATTAAATTGCCTAAAGATCTATTTCGTTCCTTCATGAATTCCAACTATTCACTTATATTAAATATTATATTGATTAATATATCTACAACAAGTCTAGAATCAACAATAAAGAAACAGACTGGAATTATATTTTTAACACTAAAACATTGGAAGTGGTGATATCTTTATATGAGTTCTAGAGTAACGCTTTGGACCCAATGGCTGTTTTTATTGAAACTGTAGCAGACCTGTTGTGTAAACTATTTATCTACTAGTTTTTTGCTTGATAATGTTCCGGTACTAATTAGGTTAAGTTAGGTTATACTGACCATCCCTGGTGGATTCACTTAGGCCGATTGGCACATTGTGTTATACGGCGTTTACATTGGCCGAAAATGGCTCATTTTGGATGAGTCATTTGAAAGTGTTTACATTCGTTGTATTTCATTTTTTCTCATTTCAAACAGCTGATTTTTCAACTTGCATGTTGATTTAATTTTTGGTCTGTGCCAAAAAAATGTTACAGGAAGGTTAAATATACCTTCAAACCTTACAATATAAACTGAAAACTTGTTTCTAGATTCGATTTATTTATTTTTGGGAAGTAGAAGTTCTAAAAAGAGGTGCATCGTTTTCAAGAAAATGCAACCACCATTCATTTGTTTATCTTTTTTTGTAAATATGTCAAAACAGCTTTTTCAAACTGTCAAAATGCCATGAAGAGCTTTCATTTAGGGTATGTTCAATGGATTCCTTTGCATTTGGAACGTATGTGGAATGCATTCGAACGTTCATACAGAATGTGAGAAAATTGCTCATTTTTGTGCTTGAAATTTTATATGCAAGAATGAGCCATTCGATACTCATTTTCGATTTTTGACCAAAATGAGCCATTTTCGGCCAATGTAAACGCCATATTACCGTATATATAGAAAAAATTTTAAACTACCTAGAAGGTAGTTTTAAAACTACTTAGAACTTTTGGCGAAGCATAAAATGGTATGTAGTGTCAGGTCCTATAATAGGTTAAGTCAGTCAAGAAAGGGGGCTCCTCTCTTGAGTATTAAGTATCCGCCGTACATGAGCTGGACAAAAATGTAATAGATGAGAAGCACTCTCATCGTCTTCCCCGCAGCTACAGCTCCGGTACTATTTATGCAGGATATATGATTTTCTTTTCAATTATAACTTTACCTGACTTTTACATGAATATAGAAAAATAGTATGAAGTACATGAAGATGTATATAGGTTTTTTCTAATATAAAATTTTTTCTACGACTCGAAGAGCATAAAAAATTAATTGAAAGTCGACTATTGACAGCTGCAATTGCCGCTGACATTTAATCCATACAAAAAAAAAGTTAAATTCATAAAAGCAGCAGCAGGAGGATCAGCATCAGCGGCAGTAGTGGCACTTCTTGCAGTGGCAGTGGTACATTCCGGCATTTATGCATAAATGTTCGTCTAAGTAAGGTCAAAAATGTCAGTAAAGTTAAAGTTTCAATCCTTTTAGTCCTTTTATTTGGTATTTGCTATTTTTGCACGGTATTAATATGGCGCTTTTCCTTTTACGGTATCTAGTAGATGGTATCTGCTCGGTGCACTCGTTGCTTTTAGTGCAGAAAATGTGCGGAACTTTCAAAATTTTATTACACACTCGTACATTTAGGCTTTCAATATTTGCACGGTTCCTACTTGACTCTCCTCTGTGGTGTTTTCCATGTGCATTAAGTCGGAGCTTAACATTTTGTTGCTGCTTGTTGATTGCGGCTTGCTGCTTCTGCTATTGCTGCTATTGCTGCTGATATGTTACTGGCAACTGACCTCTTTCTAGTAGCAGATTGCCAACATTTGCTGTGGCTTCCGATATGCAACAGTTTTTGAACAGTTTCCACTGCAAACGTCTGCCACGAAGAAAATTGTTTAAAATTTTTAGTGCAACAAAAAAAAAAAAATAAAACAGGAAAAAAAAAAATTTAACAAAAATAAAATAAAACTTGTTGAGGACGAAAAAGGAAACAAAATTTTTAAGCACGCAAAATATTTGTGTGAAATTCCTTTGGACGTTTAACTAGTTGCATTAAGTTTTGAATTTTTCAGTTCTCCAGCTTTTCATATTTTTCACTTGCAGGATTTTTTAGCAGGACTTTGGACTTCGGAAATTTCGCACAGACGAAAAAAGGCAATAAAATTTTAATTCTAAACTTAAACAAGAGCTTAAAATTGTTTCAAACTTTAAGAATATTAAATTCTATAGTTTTACTAAAAATTAAACAATGGATTATTCAAAAAGTTCTGTTCCATATTCGTTTGGTTGGTTATTTTTCTATTTTTCTATTTTTCTATTTTCAGGCTATAAAGAGTAGTAGGTACTCAGTAACTTATATAAAAATAAAAACGAAATTCCGGTTTTCGGTGATAATGGAAATTTGAAAGCTCTCTGAGCAAGTTGAAATGGAATATTGTGAAAAGGACTTAGTATATTTAATCATACCAGTTCTTACTTATTTATTTAATCTTCAAATATTCAAGTATGCGCAGTAATTTCAATTGCAATATATTTCCAAATAACATATTTGCAATTTAAATTAAATATATACATAAATAAAATTATTTTCATTATTTCTACGTATCGTTAAATCTACATTGCATTTTTTAATATACACCAATAACAATATATTTATTCGTTTTAAGACATTTACCTCCATATTTCAAGGCTCCACAATTAATTCGATTTAATTCGATTTAATTCGACTTATCTACTTTTTTATTTTATCCTACTTTCAAGAAAAATGAACTATACGACAGAATTTTTATCTCATTTTAATTATTCTCATTTTAAGACATTTATCTCTATATTTCAAGGTTCCACGATTAATTCGATTTAGTTCGACTTATCTATTTGTTTTATTTTATCTGAGTTTCAGGAAAAATGAACTATGCGATAGAATTATTATCTTATTTTAATTATTATCATTTTAAGACAATTACCTCCATATTTTCCACAATTAAATCGATTTAGTTCGACTTATCTATTTGTTTTATTTTATCTGAGTTTATCTGCGATGCATCGAATGTGGATGTAAAGGTAAAACACAAAAAGATTAGACACAAGTCTAATTTCTTTTACTGATATATAGAACTATGTTCAGGAGTTAGAAAAGCGGAGAAAACTTGTTTATTATCAACAACAATAAGATATCTGATGATTAGGGGGATGTGACATTGCGACCGTTGGGTCTATTGTGGACTTGGAGTAGGTCTCTAAGCTCAGTTGCGTTAATAAAAAGTAGTATAGCACCTAAGTTTTATTGCCGCTTCCGTAAGAATACACATTCCCAGGAGCCTATTTCGTATGTGCATTAGCGCAGGGCATTCCAACAGCACATGTGTGGCCGACTACCATTCTCTTCACAGAATGTACAATTTGCATCCGTAAGTATACCTAGTTTTGTAAAGTGGTATTTTAGTCTACAGTGCCCAGTTAGGATTGCTGTGATGATTCTAAGTTTTTCTAAGGTTCATACAATCCTGGTATCTCTTATTGTTATAGTTACCAATAAGTGATTTGGATTGTGTTAATCCTGGTATATTATCCTAGTAATCCTTTTAATTCTTGTCATTATTCATATCATTTTTAAGAATGA